TATCAGTCCTGAACTGATGGCCGGCTCATCTCCACCTGCCTGGCCCAAGGTGACCCAGCAGGCGCTGTGAGCATGCCACACCCACTTGGACTGGGCAGACCAGGTCCTCCATCAGCGAGGTCCACCTGGGGCTTGTCCCTGAGGTCAGTGCCATCTGCTGGTAGGACTGGGTATTGCAGACAGGGGTACCCTTCCAGACCCTTTGGGATGACCCAGCCCCCACCTCCTGTCTCCCACTTATCCCCAAAGCCTGGGGTGGGGGAGGGGGAGAGGGAGTGCAACCAGTTCCACACTCAAGGAAAGACTTTCAGACATGGCTGTGACAATGACATGTATTGAGATATAATCTTCCGACCATACAATTCACCCACGGAGGGTGCACAACTCATTGGGTTTATATTCAGAGCCTCATACAGCAGCATCGTATCAGTGTTAGAACATTCTCATCACCCCAAAGAGGAGCCCCATCACCACTGTCAGCCTCCCTGCAGCCCCTGGCAAACGTCAATCCCCTTTCTGTCTCCATGGATTTCCCGATTCTGGACATTTTATAAAAACGGGATCATTAAGCACGTGTGTGGCCTTTGGTGTCAGACGTCCTCGATGATGTTTTCGGGGTTCATCATGTTGCAGGATGCACTGGTACATCTGTGCGTTTGTGGCCAAGGAATGTTGTGTTGCATGGAGGGAGCCCCCTGTTGCTCTGCTCACCAGCTGATGGACCGTTGTCTTCGCTCTCTGGCCGCTGTGCACGGTGCTGCCGTGAGCATTTGTGCACAGGTGTTTGTGTGGACATGGTTTCCATTCTCAGGGGCATATGCCCAGGAGTGGCCTTGCTGGGTAACATGATAAAGAACTGCCAGACCGTTTCCCGAAACGGCTGCCCGTTGTGCAGTCCCCCACCCCCGTCCCCGTGTCCCGCCTGTCCTCGGTACCATGTAGGGTGCTGGAGCCCGAGTGACCTTGGGACCAACCCTGACATACCTCTCCTTGGCTATGAGACCTTAAGAAAACTGTTTAATCTCTCTGAGCCTGTAAAAGGTAATGGCAGAATGTAGCAGATGCCCTCTGCGTGCCTGCCCACATCCTAGGGCCCTCACGGTCCAGTGCACGTGGGCCCCGGAGCTTCTCACCCCAGTGCCCATTTTTGCCCCAGGGGAGTGGGCCCGGAATTCGAGGAGGGACTGTCTCTATGAGCAATCCTCAACCAAAGGCAGATGTGGTTTGGAGGGTAAATAGGCCAGGTGCCTCCCCCGCCTCCCCCCAAGGTGGGTGATTGGTGGGGGCCTGCAGTGACTGTGCAATTAGCCAGATAATTATAGATCGTGTAGGGATCTGTGAACAAAATAACAAGGCATTGTGAGGAAAAATAGAGGGGACCCAATTGGTGGGGGAAATGGAGGTGGAGGAGCAGCCAGCCGGGTGGAGTAGAGGGAAGAATGGTCCAGTAGGGGCATGTGCAGAGGTCCTGGGGCAGAGCAGGACTTGGGGCGGGGAGGCAGGGATGCCTGGTGGAGAGGCCACTCCTGGAAAAATCACTGAGGCTGGCCGAGTGCCTGGAGGGCCTGCCTGCTCTCCTGAGACAAGAATCTGAGCGTTCACATGCACTTGTGGTGAGATGCGTGGGGTGCGGGGGAGGTCAGAGAGGAAGGACCGAACAGCCAGGGCAGGTTTCCCTGACAGCCCCTCCTCTTCACACAGTCAGCCAGCGGCCCCAGGGGCTCAGGGAGGTCCACCTAGCTGGGTGCGTGCGACCTGGCCTGGCGAGGAGCTCTGCTCTCTGAGGGCATGGGGAGCAAGAGGCCATCGAACCTGTACCAGCCTTGACGGAGACCCTGACTCCAAGGCCTGTGATCCTAAACACCTCTCACCACGAAGCCAGTTCTTTCTCTGCCCCATCTCCCCTCACCCTGTCCCCAGCCCTCAGTCTGGACCTTCCCACGTCCCAGGTCGGCTCTGAATGCAGATGAGGTTGTGGTCAGATTGCCATCTGGATGGGGGTTGGCTGGCCACAGACACTGGTTCTCAACAACAGGGTCTTGAGCCCAGCCAGTGTGGCTCAGTGGTTGAGCGCCGACCTATCAACCAGGGAACCAGGAAGTCATGGTCCAATTCTCAGTCAGGGCACATGCCCAGGTTTGGGCTTCGATCACCAGTAGGGGTCATGTAGGAGGCAGCTGATCAATGATTCTCTCTCATCATTGATGTTTCTATCTCCCTCTCCCTCTCCCTCTCCCTTCCTCTCTGATATTAAGACAAATGTATTTTTTAAAATATTTTATTGACTTCCCACAGAGAAGAAGGGAGAGGGATAGAGAGCCAGAAACATCGATGAGAGAGATCGATCAGCTGCCTCCTACACGCCCCCCACTGGGGATGTGCCTGCAACCAAGGTACATGCCCTTGACCGGAATCGAACCTGGGACCCTTCAGTCTGCAGGCCGACACTCCATCCACTGAGCCAAACCGGTTCGGCAAGACAAATGTATTTTAAAAATAAAATAAAATAAACAACAGGGTCTTGACTGCTGATGTCCCCTTTGTCCTCATTAACTGGGAGCTGACCTAGTTTTTCCTGACTTTCTCCAGGTCACTGCTCCCAACCTGCGCTTTTAGAGCTGTGCCTGGCCCCCAGGAGGCTGCACGCTCCTCATAGGCAAGGCTAAGCTGCGTTACCTGTGCAGCCACCTGCCCAGGAGAAGGTCTGGTGGGGGGTAGAGGATGCATGGCTGGGTGGATGGATGGTAGATGGATGAATGGCTGGGTGGATGGATGGACAGATGGACGGATGGATGGATGGATGGATGGTGGATGGATGGACAGATGGATGGATGGCTGGGTGGATGGATGGACAGATGGATGGATGGATGGATGGATGGATGGCTGGGTGGATGGATGGACAGATGGATGGATGGATGGGTGGATGGATGGACAGATGGATGGATGGATGGATGGATGGATGGACAGATGGATGGATGGATGGGTGGGTGGATGGATGGAGAATTACAGTGCCATTCTTCTGAATTGTACAAAAAGCAGATAAATGTATTTATTTTATCAATGACAATACAGGAATTTTTGAAATCTCTAACTTGAAACTAACCTTCCCAAGGCATGCAATTTCCCAGAAACTCCCAGCATGCCCTCGGGACGGCCTGTGTGCCCCCATGACTTTCCCTTCACTCCACCTTTGAGCTCCTCAGGTGAGAGCACCGCAGGACAGGCACCTGCCTGCCCCCCCACCCCCCTCCTGGCTGTAAAGCTATTATTTGTGGACCATTCCATGACTGAGTCTCTCAGCGGATCCTGGCGACCACTGTGGGAACCCATTGACAGATGGGGAAACTGAGGCTGGGGAGAGACAGAGGCTGGTCCTGGGCTCTCGTGATCAATTGTGACAGAACAGAAGTAGCCGAGGCCAAATCTGAGTCCAGCACTGGGCTGCCTCTCTTCACACCAGGCAGCCCCTCTCCCCAGATCCGGTTCCGAGGTGTGGACCGCAGCCCGGTGGGCCACTCGGGCTCTGTGTGGGCCGCCCTGGTCGTCCAGCTGTTGCAGCCTGAGGGGGGGCGGGGGGACGGGGTCAGCCCCAGGCGCTATATCTGGCTCGGCCCTGGAATGCGACCCCGGCAAGGTCACCCTCCGATGGGTGGGCGCTAATTATAGACCTGCTTGCTCATCTTTCCGGGTCCTTCAACCCCCAGGGAGGCAGGAGGCCTCTGAACCCGCTGAGGGGTTCAAAGGCCCGCTCAGAGCAGCTGAAGCCCCATCACCCAGGGCCGGTCCGCCTTCCCCATCAGAGGGCCGCCCGGGCTGGGGCTCAGGGGCTGGGCCCTGGGTCCTGCTTCACACAGGCGGGCCGCCTTTTCCTGGGGACAGGTGGGGAGTGGACCAGGTCAGGGCGAGCAGAGGGGCCCACCTGGCCGCCTGTCCTAGTCAGCTGTGCAAAGACAGGGGTGGTGGCTGGCCAATCCCGAGAGGCTATGTTTTCTGTGTTTTATTTTATTTTATTCAGCTCTGTTTATTGAGCACCTTTGACGCTTCGATCTCTACTTTTATGCGGAAGGCACTCAACTCCCGAAATCGAGATGTTAGTGTTTTTTTTGTTGGGCAACCATCAGTTACCACCGCCCATCTCCAGACTTCTTCATCTTCCCAAACGGACACTCAGTCCAAATTAAATACACACTCCCCCCTCCGCCTCCCCCAGCCTGTCTATGAACTTGACTCCTCTAGGGACCTCCTATGAGTGGACTCATACAGGATTTGTCCTTGGTGACTGGCTTATTTCACTTAAAATGTCCTCAAGGTTCACCCACCTTGTAGCAGGTCAGAGTTCGCTTCCTTTTTAAAGCTGGGGAATATTCCATTGTGTGGATGGACCACATTCTGCTTATCCGTTCGCCCACGGATGGACTTGGTCTGATGGGAATAGCACTGCTATGCACGTGGGCGCGCACACACCTGCTGGACTCCAGCAGATGCTGCCTCTCTAGGCAGAGGCAGAAATGATCAATGCCCAGGGGGGCTTCGAGCAGAGTCCTGGAGCGCACCTGCCTGCGCAGGCGCTCACAGCGGTCCTTGCCATGGAGGGTTTTATTGGGATTTTAAACACAGCACACCTCTCTTTCTCTTTCTCACATGCGTGCACGATACATTCACAGACAACCAGGATCACACAGACACACGTACACGCGTGCGTGCACACACAGATGTCCGCAGACAGTCCCTGAATTCACGGACACCTGCCCACACACAGGCTCCCAGGTGCGTTACGCTTTCTTTCCATCCACCTTTTACCTTTCAGATCGAACAGCGTTCAGAGCCAGGGGACTGGGTGCCTCTCGAGCCCAGCTTCCCAGCACAATCTTACATCCCAAAGCAGCGACTCGGCACGGACCCTGCTGTCCTCACAAGCAAACATGTTCATGTAAAACCTGCCTTAAAATCTATTAAAGAACAAGGTAGAATAAAATACTTTAATGTTCCAATTACACATCCCCCGCCTTGTCCCACAGCTGCACCTTGGGGAGCCTCCTCGGTAGCCAGGACCCCGCATTCAGCTGGTCTTCCCAGCTGGTGGGGGTCCCTGGTGGGTGGAGGTCCCTGGTCAGCACAGACCCACGAGTGTCTTCTTCACAGCAGTTCCTCTCTGAGTCCCAGCTCGGCCCCATCGTCCCAGCTGAATTGGTGCTTGTTTGAGAGAGTCAGCAGGAGCGGGGACAGTCACTTATGGAAACCTGCCCGGCCGGGATGGCCAGCTATGATGGACGGCAGACGCTCAGCCATTGGCTGGTCCACACCTACCGGGCTGGGCTGGCCATGAGCTTGGCGCCCAGCCATGGGGCCACAATGCGTGAGGCCTCCACTCTGCCCACTGGGCAGCTAAGCGAGGCCTCCCCGGCTCCTCTGCCGCTGTCGCCGCCGCTGGGGCTGGGTGGCCTTGCCGGGTGGCCTGGCCAGGCCACCATGGAGCCCGGCCCCGCTCTGGAGCAGCCGCACCATCTCGTGGTCCTTGTGGTCGAGCACGCGGGGCAGGAACAGTGAGGACTTCTGTGTGCGGCGCGTCTTGAAGCCCCTGCGGGGCCGGCCCTTGCCGTTGACCGACACATACCACAGTCTCTCGGCGCTGGGCTGGCGCCGGGCCCCCGGCCCGCTGGGCACCGTCCGGTAGAGCCGGGAGGCATACGTGTTATAGCCCAGCTCGTGGATCCGCTCCACAAACTCGCACTCCGCGTTGTAGTTCTCCTGCGGGTTTGGGCAAGATGCCTCGGTCAATGGCCCGGGGGCCACACGGACATGTGGCCAGGGTCCCAGGGACAGCTTCTTCTTCACAATCCCCCCTCCCCTTCGGCTCCTGCCAAATCTGGCTGCTTAGCCTGCCCAGACCCGTGCACGGGGGCCCTCCACACCTTTGCCGAGGCTGTGCCCTCTGCCCGGCGTGCCCTTCCTCCCACCTGCGTCTGGTGAACTTGGCCTTGGGGATCAGCTCAGGGCCTCTTCCTTGGCCAGGAAACCTGAGCACCTTGGGAAGAGTGGCTCTCCCTGTCTCCCCTCCTGGGCCCCAGCCTCCCACAGCCTCCACGGGACTAACCCTGGAGGGTGTCCCCAGCGCAGGGACAGCAGGGCCAGCAGGGCCAGGGCCTGCCCGACCCAGCGCCCTAATTGTCTGCTGGCAGCATGGATGTGAGCAGGACTGGACACTGGGACCAGGGGAGGGGATGGCGCCCCAGAAGGAACAGCATAAAGGAGAAGGAAGGAAAAGCACACTGAGACGGGAAGGGGAGGGAGCACAGCCGGGTTTTCCCTGGGCCTGGGCCTCAGAAAGCCGCTACCTTGGCCTCTGTCCCTGCCCCACAGGTGGAAGGAGGGACGAACGTGCATGGAGCGGAAGCCAGGAGCCCAGCAGGGTCAGCGCTTCCCCTCGAAGGTGCAGGTGCTGCTCTCAGGGCCCCAGCACCAGGGGTGGGAAGGAGGTTGACTTTGGCAGCGGGATGAATGGACCCATGTCAGCTCGGCACAGGGTGGGGGTGTGGGTGGGAGTCCCTGCCCTCTGGGAGGCAGGCATCTGGAGGGTCAGAGGGGAGAACTCGGAATTAAAGTAGCTGTCACCAGTGTCCCCCAGGGCACCTTGTGGGGTCTCCCAGGTGGGGGAAGGGGTGTGTGTGCCTCATGCTGACTCAGTGGAGGCTTCAGTCCCACCCCCAGGCGGGTGGGCGTACCAAGGGCCACCCCCCCCCCAGGGCTTCTCTCCCTGACTGTGCCAAGGGGCAGGGCTGGGGGGAGGCAAAGGTGGGCAGAAGGACCTGGCCTCTCTCCTGAGACTGGCCACTCAACAGGAGCAAGAGACCCTTGGGGTCTGTCTCTGAGAGCAGGTGACCCACAAACCCATTCTGAGGGGCCACAGGCTGGTGGGGGCCAGAAGGACTCTTGTTTAAGCATCAACGCCTCTTTCCCAATGGCTTAGAGATTGGAGACGGGGCGGGGGGTGGTTAGAGGGGTGTGGCTGAATCGGGAGGGGGGCACCTCTCCCCATAAGCCCAGCCCCTCTCTGTTCCTCCCCTACAAGTGGGGGCTCAGGGCTCAGAAGCTCAATGTCAACCTCCACACTGTACAGTTGCGTGAGTGCAGCTGCGTGAGTGCAGAAAGACCCCAGCAGGACCTGACACAGGGTGTGACCTACAGCAAGTACCTGTGAATGAAGGGATGGATGCTGGATGGAGGGAGGGGGGAGGGATGACAGGCAGACGAATGGATGAATGAATAGATAAGTGGGTGGATGTTGATAGATGAATAGATGGGTGGATGGACAGAGGACTGGAAGAGGGTGGGAGGCTGGAGGCCAGTAGCCCCGCCCCAAGGTTGTGATGGTCCAGGTGGGAGGTGATGAGGGCCTGAGACATGAGGGCAGTGGCATAGGCAGGGAGGTGAGGGGAATGGATGGAAGAGAGAGATCGGGAGGTCTAGTCTAGGACTTGGAAAGGGCCTGGATGTGGGGCTGAGAAAGAGGCATCCACCATGACTCCCAGCTGACCCTGGGCTTGAGAGAGTGGCTGGTAGGGGAGTTAGGGGAGCTGCGGTGTGCTGCCCTCTGCCGGGGCCTCTGAGCCACCAGGGCTTACAGGGTGACCTCTAACTCAGAGGGGGTCAGGGCTGGGATTGGGAGCAGTTGGGGTGCAGTGGCCGCTAAGCCAGGGAAGTGGATGAGCTGGCCTGGGGAGGTGACCGGCAGGCTGATGGCAAAGACGAGGGGACCCGGACAGCCAAGAGGCAGGGCAGTGGGAACAGCACTGCGGGCTAGCTGGCGGCGCCTAGGATGGGGACATGCAGTGGCTGTCACAAGTTGGCACCTGGCTGCCTCCCCCAGGTCTCTGCAGGGCAGCGAGACCGCTCCTGCTGGCACTCTGCAAAGCCCCACTCACTTCCACTGGAACTCCTGGCTATGCCCATGAGGTGAACCTCTCTTCCTCCTTTCCCAAAGCCACCGCCATGACACTTGGGGACAGAAGCCACAGGTGGGCTCTGACCCACTGGGATCACTCAGGCCATGCTTTGTTCTGCCCCCAAAGCCCCGGGCCTGGGTTGCCCACGAAAGAGACGGCAGTAGCCTTAGGTTTCCCCTCTCAGTTCAGCCTTCCCTGCCCCGCCCTCATGGATGTCACCAGTGTGGAGGGAGGCCCTCAGAGGTCAGACCTGCACCTTCACTGCAGGCCAGCGACACCTCCTCCCTGGGGTCGCCTCTCTCTAAGGGACAGGTCTGAGGTCCTTTCAAGAACAGAAAGTCAGTTCCACTCGCCAGGGGCACAGTGCCTGCGGGCCTGGGAAGCCACATTCCCTCAGGGAAAACTCAGCCGGGCTAGGGGCCTGCCCTGTAAACCACAACTGCTGTGTGAGGGGCTGGGCACCAAAGGGCCCCTCCTCCCAGACACGCCTCTGTCCCGTGCCCGCTGGGCCAGAGCATTCCAGTCAGCCTTTCCCTCAGCAGAACATGTGCGATGAAATAATCGGCCTAAAGGTGGGTCTTCCTGCAATTCTTCTGGCCGGCGCTTTGCCTGGCTGCAGAAGGGGCAGGAAGTGGTGGTGTGTTTCCCTTGCAAGCGCCGATGGAGGGAGATAACGGTGTGGAGATGGTCCTGGGGCTGCGTCGCCTAGGTTACGTGTGGATGGAAAACCTCTCATTGCCCAAGAAGCTATCGGCTGAGTTGCATGTAATGACTAGTTGGAGGGAGCAAATTTCCTAGTTCCATGTACTTTACTCCATGTATCCCCCACCCCTGCCCTGGGGGAAGGACACGCCAAGGCCCACAGAGTCCCAGGCGGTGGACAGACTGGGTTCCAGCAGGTGTGCCTGGGATGTGGGTCCCGTCTTCCTGCTTCTGGGCTCCCTCCTGAGGGCTAACAGCTCTAGCCTTCCACCTTTGGGGAGCACTGGCTTCCAGGCCAGTGGACCGCAGCTCCATCCGGGCCCACCCACATGAGGGGCTGGACTCACCGATGCGTAGAGCCGTCCCCTCTTGTTCATGGCCAGGTACCGCCCGGAGAAGAGCCCCTTGATGGCCACGATGCCCACCTCCACTGCCGTTATCTCTAGAATACCTGGGAAGAGTGGGAAGGCTCATCACTCCCTCCGCCTCCCACGGAGCGCAGAGGTGAGGGGTGAGGGCTGGGAGCCTTGCCCAAAGCTGACACACACCCCCCCCCCCCCCCCGCCCCCAAGGAGGGTGACTTTGGAAGTTCAGGGGAGAGAAATTACTGGGCGGGAGGTGAAAGGATGGAGCACCGGGGAAGGTGCTCCAAGGAGAGGAATTCAAACCTGGAGTGGGGGGTAGGGGTGGGGGGTAACAAAGTTGACATTGCTACACACTAACTCCAGGCCTCAAAGGACGTGGAAACAACCCTGCCAGCTAGTTTCCTAAGACTGCCGAGGCCGAGTGACCTGCCCAGGGCGCACACACGTGTTTGAGCCCGAATTCAAACTGGGGCTGCAGACACAGCTCCCCGGCCTGGACCGCCTGGACCACAGTGCCGTGGGGGTCCCGCAAGAGGACAGCGGGGGCCCTGGCTGAAACTGGTTCATGATATAATCCCGAGGGCACATTGAGGATGTCACCTTGGACCTGGCGGGCGCAACTGTCCATGTGGTTGGAGGGATAGCGAGGCCGGGTTAGACCCGGGACCTGACAAAGGGAAGCAGGCTGGGTCCCCACTTCCCACCGTGCGGAAGAAAGCTTGAATCTCCCCTAAGCGCTCTCCTGGACACAGAGCGCTTTTCCTTGGGGAGAGGGACAGCAAAGGGGGGGGGGGACGCATTGCCCCTGAATGGCTCCAAGGGGGCTTGGAGTGCGGAGGGTACCCTCTCCGGGGGCTCAGCTCCTGGCCCCGCGCCGGCCCCAGCAGGGACCCCAGAGCCAGCCGTGGGCCGCTGGAGAGATTGGGTGGGAGCGTTCGGGTGTGCAGGCTGCGCGGACTGAGCGGCGCCGGCACCAGAGAAACGCACGCCTGGATGCGGGACAGGAGCGCTGCCCCCTCAGATTCCCCAAGAATTTGGATGCTCTGAGACTCGGAAGAGCAGCCCTGGCTCAGAGAGAACTGGGGTGTCCCTGTGAGGCGAGCACGGCACCCGCGTGGCGGGGTCCTACACACACGGCCGGCGACGCGACAGTTGGTCTCCACCGCGGCCCCGTGGGGAGGCGTCCTCCGAGCGAGACCGCCCGCGCAGGGCTGCGGCTTCCCCGAGGAAGCAGCGGTTTCCCGCCGCCGCCGGAATCCACGGAGCCGCTTCCTCCGCCCCCTCCGCCCGGCGGGAGGCCGAGCGCACGCGTCGCCTCGCCTCGGAGGAGCCCGAGGCCTTGGCCACACTCCACGCCGCCCTCCTCGGCCCCGAGCTGGGGTCTCGGGCTCCCCACCGAGCGGACCGCAGCGAGTCCGTGGCTCTGCGCTCCTCGCGGGAGGGGCTCAGCTCAGGCTCGGTCCCGGCGGCCAGAGGGCCCAGCACGGCAGCCTCGCCCGCTGCGGCTCCAGCGCAGCCCGGGCCGCGGGTTCTGGCTGCGGTCTCAGCGCCTCCAGACCCAGGCGGAGGACCCTCGGGGCTCCCAACCCGGATCCCGAGGCTCCCACCCTGGCGGTCGCTCGGTGGTCAAGGATGGAGGCTCGAAGGCTGCAGGTTCCGCCGGGAAACGGTCTAGCAGTGGCGGCCCGGGACCCTGCTACCTGGGCGGCCGCGCGCGTTCCGTGGGGCAGAGGGGAGGACGGGCGCCCCGGGGTCGGCAGGAGGAGGAGAAGTCGTCAAAATAATAAAGAGGATGATCAATGACTTGGCCAGCGCCTTTTTCTCCGAAAAACTCAGAGCTCAAACTTGCCCGGGCCACCGAATTCAGCCAAGCGGGGAGCCCTGGGCCGCCTACCGCGCGCGGGGACAGAGCTGGTCAGCAAACGGCAGCCGCCCTGGTCCTCGGAGGTCGCGAGTCCCCACCCCCAGCGCCCCTCACGCCCTTCTTCTGGGCCCGGGGTGGGGGGGATGGGGGCTCCCTCGGCAGCGAGGAGTGGTCCCTTTCCCGTCCCCCTCCGGGCGCCGACCCCGCCGGTGCACCGCTCCTCCCCGGGACGCGCCGCGCCTCCGCGGGCCGCCACTCACTGTAGGCGCTGTTCTCCAGGCTGCCGTTGACGCGGCCGCTCGGGTGCAGCTGGAGGTGGTACTTCGTGGCGCAGTAGAGCTTGCGGCGCCGGGGGGCCCCGCCGAGGTGCTCGTAGACGCCGCCGCGGCCGCCCGCATCGCGCCGCAGCCGCGCGCCGGGACCCGCCGGCCAGCTGGGCTCCAGCAGGCTGAGCAGCAGGAGCCAGATCAGGCCCATCGTGGCATCGCGCCCGCCCCGCGGCGGCTGCAGGCGAGCGCGGCTCCCATGGAAGGGGCGGCGGCGGAGCCGGGCTGGGCGCGCGGAGCCGGCTCCCGCGCCTGGCGCTGCGGACTCGGGCTCCGCGGCGAGGGGAGGGAGGGGAGAGGGGAAGCGGGAGGGGTGGTGAGAGAGAGAGAGGGAGAGAGAAAGAGGGAGAGAGAGAGAGAGAGAAAAGGAGAGGGAGAGAGGGAGGGAGGGAAAGAAAAGGAGGGAGGGAGAGAGAGAGAATGAATCTCCTTTAATTTTCTCCCAGGATCGGGTGAAATTTCCGTTGCTGCGCAAAACGCTGTAAGAAAAGACGGTTCGTCAACAAAAGGGCGACGTGGTCCCCTGGCGGAGGCGCGGGAGGGGCGGGTGGGGAGCCCGGCGGGCGCGGGGTTCGGGCCAGCGCCGCCCGCGCACACTCGCCCCCGCGCACCGCCGTCGAGCCGCGGCTCCGCTTCGCCGCGCGCCCCGCGCCCCCGCTGCGCCCTCTGGGCTCTGAAAGGTCCCTCCCTCGCCCCCTCCCCCAGACCAATTATGCCTCCGAAAATTATAGACCGAGGCCTCGAGGCGGCCGCCCCAGGCCCTGTCACCCCCTCCCGCCCCCCATCAATCCCCCGGCACAATGGGGACGCCGCCTATGACTGATGTCCGCGAAAACAACTTGCGGGGAAGTCGCGCTGACAAACGCCCATTAGAGGCGGCGCATAATGAAGGGGCCGCGGAGAACGGTGCCGGGGAGAGCGGGGGGGGGGGGGGAGGGGGGAGCGGCTGGGGCGCGCGTGGGGAACCCCGGGCTTGTGTCTGCGTCCAGGGGTCCCTGCTGGAGCCGCGGCGCTGTCTCAGGCGGGCCACTGGAGGCGGACCGGCGGAGACGTGCTTTATCCTGTCTCGCACCCCAACCGCCAGATCCGGAAGCGGAGGTTCTCACATGGGGGGGGGGGGTGTGGATGGGGGGTGTCTCAGAGGGTCTGGTCCCAGTGGCGGGCCACAGAGGGGGCCGGGAAGGAGAGCGGAGAGCCGGAGAGAGGGGCAAAGAGGCTGAGAGCAAGAGACAGGCACAGAGAGAAAGACAGGGAGAAAGAACAGGGGAGAGAGTGACAGACACCAAGAAGCAGAAATGGAGGCTGAGCCCCGGGCGTGATCCCCAGAGAAAAGCAGGGGAGGTGTAGTGGCCTCAGAGAAGGGAGAGGAGAGGAGGGGGGGTGGCCAGAGGAGGGGGTATGGAAGCCCCTGCCTGGTGGGACAGGGGCAATAGGGTAGATGCCCCTGGATGGCCCTTAGACTGCGTGTGGGACTCTCTCCCCTTGGGACCCCAGTGAAGAGGGGCTGTGGATAGAGTGCTGGGCAAAGCCACACCCTCACACCCTTCTCAGTTCCCCTGGCCTCTGTCCCCCACAGCCCCTGGCCTCTGTCCCCACACTGGCCTCTGTCCCCCACAGCCCCTGGCCTCTGTCCCCACACTGGCCTCTGTCCCCCCCACAGCCCCTGGCCTCTGTCCCCCACAGCCCTGGCCTCTGTTGCCCCATAGACCCTGGCCTCTGTCCCCCCACTGGCCTCTGTCCCCCCACAGCCCCTGGCCTCTGTCCCCCACAGCCCCGGCCTCTGTTCCCCCATAGACCCTGGCCAGCAAACAGCAGATACTGACACACAAGCTCAAGCAAGGGGCTTGCTCCATGGCAAAGGGGGTGGTACGGGCAGCGATGAGGACGGACCCTGTGAGATCCTGTGGTCTAGGCCACAGTCTTAGCTCCAGGTTCAGGGTTCCTGGAATGACCCATCTCATCCACCTGCATTAGGATTTGGGATCTTGGCCCTGCCCAAGAGAGGGGCAGGCATGCAGGGCAAGGGGACCCCCCTGAGCTGCAGGAGCTGGCACACCCCAGTCAGACATTTCTCAGTGTGGTCTAACACAATGTGCCCTCAGTGAACCCACTCTGGCATGGTCAGTGCCAAGGGCCCTGGGGGTGCCACCCAGCATCCCAGTTCCTGGGGAGGTTGTTCCAGGCCAGGCTCTGTCTGCAACCAGAAGAGTCTAAAGACCAGGCCACTGACCGCTAGAGCCCCCGACTCCTGGAGCCTGCTTTCCTGGGGACAGAGGACAGCCCCTGGGGACAGAGCTGGGAGGGGACTTGCCCATCCACCCGCAGAGCTGGCCTGAGCCTGGATTTCCTGTGAGAGCACAGAGGGGCACGGTGAGGGCTGGGGGCGTCTCCAGGCCCTCAGCTCTGCTCTGGAGTCAGGCAGGGACCTCCTGACGCGGTGTCCGTGTCAAGAAGCGACGAGAAGAGAGGGAGAGTGGGCCTGGGATCCAGAGAGAATCAGTTTCAGAGTGAAGCGTTCAAGACCTGCTGGGTCAGGGGGAGGGCAGGATTCCCAACCCCCTTTAATGTACAGGCCTCAGCCTCCTCCCCTAGAGTCCCCGCAGGAAGATGGGGAGGAGCCAGAAAAATTCTATGGAAGAAGCTCAGGGTGTGCAGCTTCGCTCTTCTGCACGTCGCCCCAGGGGCGCCCTGTCCATTGTGGGTCAGCCACATGGACCCCCAAGTGGACCTGCCCCCTGGAACTGGGGGAGGGGCTTCTGTGGAGCAGGGTGGCGGGGGCCCGGGAGGTCTGCTGCCTCTGTTCACTGTTGTGCCCACAGTTCCTGGGTGGCAGCCCCTCAGTGCCTACTCCCTGGATGAAGGAGAGAAGGAAGGAACGAAGGGCCCAGCAGCCGCTTCCTCGCCGAGTGGACTTGGCCATGTGGCTCCTCTGAGATGCTGGTTCCTCGTGTAGAAAATGCCTCAAACACAGTGAGAGACCCTCAGTAGAATGATCAGCGCAGAGCAGGCCCATCACCAGGGGACTGTTTCCTATGGAACCGCGACGCCTTTGAGAGTGGAACAGGGCACTGTTCACAGTTCTGCAGGGACGGCAGGCACCCACGGCTCGCGGTCCCTTCCAGTGTGACTTTGCCGAGACAGCAAAGCTCGCTGGGCCGCGTTTGCTCCTCTGCTCTGGAGCTCCCTGAAGTCAGAGGGTGCTGTCTGAGGCCCTGCAGCAACCCCATCCTGGGCTAGCATTGGGGGGCACACGCCCACCTGCCTGCACCCCCAGCCCACCGCCCATAGCCTCTCCCTCTGGCTCCAGGCTTTGCCCACCTTCCTCTTTATCTAAATCTCCCTGACCCCTGTCTTTCCGGGCCCAGGGAGCCCGCGGACACCCCCCGAGGGCCTTGGCTGGGCTCCGGACATCAGAGCGCTGCCTTCAGAGGCTTAGGTGCAGCCAAGGGAGAGGCTCCTGGTTTCGTGGCATCTTCCTGGCCGGGCATGGATCTCATTCACAAAGCCCTGCTGGGCTGGCTGGGCTGGGGCACCCACGCAACCCACCCCACGGCGACCTCCGCCCCTCCCCTCCAATACGGAACCAGGTGGGGGGTGTAATGTGGTAATAGCGACCCTGTTAATTGCTTCCAAATGGTCACTGTAGCCATTTGACTAATTGGTCTCTTCCAGACCCCGGCCTGGACACCCCCAGGCCTGGCCCCAGCCCACCTCACCAGGATTCCCAAGACCTCTGCTCTGGGTGCCCCCACCCCCAAGTCCCCTCCCAGCCTATCTGGTACTTGTATGACATCCTGTGACCCCACCCTCGAGTTCGGGCCTCAGCTCTCCAGAGCCTTCCCCTGGAGAGGGAGCCAAGGGAAGGGACAGAACACAGAGCAGTGTCCTGTAACAGGGTCCCAGCCTGCCCACAGGGGTGACTGCCAGATGGGGTGCTGGCTTCAGGCCCCGAACTCTGTGTTATTGTGGCCACCAGAGCAGTGGGAGAGAGCCCCCGCCTCCAGCGCCACCTGGAGCCAGTGGCCCTGAAACCGTGGCAGCCCTGCCATACGGATGAGAAACGAAGGCTCAGAGACCCGATGAGACTTGCGCAGGGTTACACAGCTGGGAGGTGAGGCAAGGCCGCTGGAACCTTCGTCTGTTGGCTCACCTCTGCCACCTGATAGCTTCATCCCCAACAGGCTGTGGGTGGGTCCCGGGCCCTCACAGCAGGCTTTTTGCTGTCTCTGCCTTTGCTTCTGGCCAAGTTAGAGGCCATGAGCACCAGGTGTGGGACTGGAAGCAGAATCTCCACACACAGCTGGGCTAGTTCTCTGCCTGTGGGTAGACCAGCTGGCTGCCCTCCCCAGCAAGGCCACCCACTCCTAAGGGCAGAGTGTGGTCCCAGCACCAGACAGGAGCTGACCAGTTAGGGGGGTACAGCTTCCTCTTGGGCTCCCAGATGGCACCAGTGAGGGGCTCCTTTAGTCTCAGGAATCCTGGGCTTGACCACTGCCTGTGCCCAAGGACAGTGAGGGCTGCTGGGTGCAGAGAGGAACAAGAACCCCCTCCTCTATGTCAGCTGGACCTTGGGCTGTGTCCAGCTCCAGAATGGGGTCGCCGACCAGGAGCACCCCCGGATTACAGCCTGGCAGTCCTGATTAAGGGCTATAGACGTGAACCACAGCCACAAAATCACCCCCTACCCCCAGCCTACCTGGCCTTTGCACATGCTGGTCATTCCACCTGGGGCACCGGCTGCCCTTCCCTTCTAGAAACACCTGCTGTTCCTGCAAGACCCAATGCATCACACCTGGAAGCGCCCGCCTCCCCATAGAACCCGTCCCCCTCCCGTCATGCGCTCCAGTCCAGCAGAGACGGCCGAGGGACCGAGCCAGGAAGCAGCTGGCAGGGTGCACGTTTGCTTCTGTTAATGAGAAACGTTTCTCATCCCCCGACTTCAAGAGGCCAGAGAGATGCTCGTTGCCGCCCATGGACTGAGCTGATGGCCTCCTCACCCACCCGGCAGGTCCCAGGGCTGGCGCCTCCATCTCTGTCACTGCCAGCTGCCAGGCCAGCTGCCACTGTTGCCCTCAAGCCTGCTGTGCAACCCCCCTCCCCCAGTTTTTTGCCCGTGAGCACGCCCTCACCTTTGGGGTGAAGGCCACGCCCCTCACTTGGTCTGGTTCCAGCCATCTCTCAGTCTCCATCTCCTCCCCCCCCTCCAGAGCCTTGACCAGTCGGGGTCCTCCTGGAGCTCCGCT